TGAAGTTAAAACCCCTAAAAAGGAAATGACCATAGAATTTAAAAACAAAAAAGAAAAAAGAAAATTTGTTGACACCCAATTGAGAGAAGACAAAAAATTTTCTCTTTGTCCCTCTAGGAAAAGGAAAAGCCAATTTAACCGGCAAAAGAAAAACAAGACAACTTATTTAAAAGAAAATCCAATTTACAGAAATGAAGTATACCCAGATAAGAAAACCATTGAGGCATTAAAAGTAATAAATTTTGTGATGAATTCAATCAGAGAGAAGAAAAAAAAACAAGTTCTTACAGTGAAGCTAAAAGGGCAAAAAATATAGTTAAAATTTTAAATTATATTATTTTCATATTTTATATTTATATTATATTTCTATGCATCATTGTATCCGTTTTAAATTATAATGTCGAAGATGGGACAGGGAAGAGAGTCGGGCCATTGAACGGTGAAATGTTCAATGAACACACTCAAGTCTAAAAAATTTTCTTTTTTTTTTTGAAAGAAATACTCTTTCTTATTTTCTTTCTTTTTTTTTTATTATAAAAAAATCTCATTACATTTTTAGATATATTTTAAAATTAAATACATTACTCCCTAATGATCAATAATTAATAACATCAATAACATGCTATAATTTTTGTCCCCATTTAATATCAAAATTATGGGGCATTATTTATTGGATAAGTAGGATGAGAAAATAAATTTAATTAAAACTGAAAGTATTTTGATATCACCATAGATAAACTAAATTTGATAACAGAAAAAAAAATCATAACCTCGTATAGATGCTAAAATATTATTCACTATGTCCCATAATTAATGTTTAATTAAATTTTAGATGAAGGGTTTCCAAGGAGCTTTTCTTTGATATGCTAATGGTCCTTGTCGTCCGTAACTTGAAAGGCTTTGGTTTGTCTGTGATGCATCTTAATGCACTTATTATCAGATCAAAGAATGATAATATCTGATAATTGTCACTACCTCTGAGACAGACCATAGAAAATTTCTCTTGGATTTGCTTTGATTGTTCATTGTGAGTCTTTCACGTACAAATTTAGTACCTGATAATTACTGTCAATTTTGGAGTTTTCCATCAATGTATGGTTGCATCTTCCATGGCCTTGTGGAGCAGCTTAGCTGCCATTGCTTCTTGGTCCAGGCCATGGTCATACATTTTTCGCTGAAGTTCATCTTTAAGCTTTAAGAACCAGTGGCCCACGAGGATATCCATAACAAAATACCTTCTTTCGGGACAGAATGGCTTTCCAAGCCTTGATGTCCGTTTGCAAATCTAAGGCCATGCTCTGGTTACTTGTTCATTGTATTTCTTAACCAAGTTATTAAGATCTTGTGATGCATTTATGCTGTGCATCAAAAACCATAAATTGTCTAGCCTTTTCAGAAACTTTTTGATTGCATTGAGGCTTATGATTTATTTCAATGCCCCCTTTAACAGACGTTGACATGATAATGTTCTTCGACCCTGGGGCTTTGTTATTGTTGGAAGGATATATTTCGAACATTCCGACAAATCGATGTTCAATTGAAACTTCTAATGCAGATTTGTACTAATTTGGTTTCAATGTTTGGATGCGGTTTCGCACTCTTTTTCTTCTGTAAAACTGAATTCTTGAGGTTTTGCAAATTATTCAAAGGATTAGAAAATAGTTTATTCTCTATAATTATTAAGTTGTTCCTAAAGCAGATATTAAAAAGCTTGGTCAAAATGTTGAGACTTGTAGCAGTTTTTTTTAATGGAAGTATATTATTTATAATTATTGTAATTAATTATAATTTGAAATTATATGGGATTTATTAAAATATCATTTTAAGTAATTATAATTTTGAATTATATGGAATTTATCAAAATTTTATGAGTAATGAATTTTATATAATTTTTTTATTATGATTGAATAATGATAGAATTATAATAAAAATATTATGGGTGAAATGCATCCTTTTTACACATACTAAAAATTAAAACAAAAAAAAAAAAGGAAAAGGCTAAACATCATCAAATTTGATATAAAAGGAGCATGGTACTTATAATTCTTAGAATACAATTAATTAATTATAATTTAGAATTATATAGGATTTATCAAAATTGTATGTGAAAATCACACTTATAAATGATGAATTTTTACATAATTTTTAATTATAATTAAATAATTGTAATATTATAATAAAAAATTATAAATGATATACACTCAATAATAAAATGTTTAGAATGAAACTATCGTCGCATTTTCAGAAAATGTACCACCATTTGACGATTTTTCAATAGATTGCAAATGGTTTGTGATTACCAATCCCACTTCCAATTCTCAGATTAAATAACGAGAACTTATTGCATTTTAGAAATTGACTTTTCAAGCAATTTGAATTAGGCTTGTAGGTATTTGATCAGTGTGTGTATGTGTAGTGTATATATATATATATATATATATATATATATTACCATGAAAGATTAAAATAGAGTTGGGTCGCAAAGAAGATCAGTTTATTAATGATATATTAATGAGAAAATAATGTAAAGCTTGTAGAACTCTTTTGCGCTTTAAATTTAGGATTAAATTTAATTAATTTATGTAATTTTTTTAAAATATAAAATTTAATAAATTTAAAATCTAAATTCAAATATTTTTTAATCCCAACGTATTTTATACGGAGTCGACTTTCTATATAATCACGAGAAACAAACAGAAAAGGAAAAACATGAGCTTACTTGAGCCGTGAAATCTGAGGTGTAAATCTTATGTCCGTAAATTTTCCTGGAGAGATAAATGATTGGAGACCATTGGGCAGTTGGCCATTCTAATCCACATTATTTGCAGTGGGGTCAACTCTGATTAGGAATCTGGGTAATCCATGTCAGTGCCATGGCTATCTGACTCAACTTTACTTTGTTTAATCCGCCGTTTGGGACCCTCTTCTTTTTCCTGAGCTATATTTTCTTTGTAGCCTGTTGGGTAGGTGGGTGCCAGTCTCTTTCGACGATCCATTATGGTTCATGCCACCATTTATCCACTTGCCAATTTTTATCATATTGAAATAAATATTAACCACAAATTTTATTTTTTATTTTATAACGCATCAAGTAGATTCAATTTTTATCCACTTACAATTTTTTTTATTTTGTATAATCCTATGCACTCATTGTGTCGCTTTTGATATGGTTTTTTCTTTTTTTTTGGTATATATATATATATATATGTGGTTATATAATGAGAGATAATTTGAACGAATACATGATTGATGATAAAAAAAAAATTTTATTATTTTAATTTGAATTTATGAAAAATTTATAAAATTTTTTTTATAAATTTATTAAATTTGATATAAATAAATGTATTTATATCGATCCATCAAATAGATATATCGAACAAAACTTAAAAATATTTTATTCTCAAAAAATTTTGAAGTCAAAAATTTCATAATGAAATTTAAACTTTTACAACTTGGTGTCTTATTCAATATATTTCGATATATCTATACATTATGTGTCTTGATGATTTGATTTATACCTAAATTGAAATGAGGTAAAATTCAAATACATTGTTTAATAGTGCAATGACTATTGCACAAAACTCGTGCATTTGTTTGCGTTGTATGATTGCCGCATATTTTAGACTTTTGATAGTCTGCCATGTATTAAGACTTTGGATCCCCCGACCAAACAAATCTCTAAGTTTTTGTTGCTTTGTTCATGACATAGGATTTTGTCTAATTGCAAACCTGTTTCTTCAGTTTGTTTTGTATATATATATATATATATATATATTATATATTATATATATTTTTTGGCCGACACTGCTTCCCATTCAATTCACTCATTTTTTAATACAAATTTCTTGAAAAAGAAAAACGTGTTTCATCCAGTGCTTCACTTCATTCCCATAATTTTCTGTTTGATGTGATCAAGCACCATTTTTCTTTAGTCATATTTTGAAAAGCTTCATTTCCATGAAATAAAAACCTGGTTGCCAATGTCTCCGACGGTAGCTTAGAATTTATGATTCTATATTACAGATTTTGGATGCAAATTCTGAGATGAGCAGAGTGAAACTTTATCAGACAAGAGAACATGTAGCTGAAAAATCCCTATGTACCAAAAAAATCAAGTTGCCGACGGTGTTTAACCACGAGGATCTTGCCCAAATCATTGAAAGGATTTTACTTGGACCCAGTTTTAGATTTTGGTTGTTTTTATATCTAAAGGAAATGACAAGAACATAAGAAAGCAGTTTTTTTTTTCTTACCAAAAAAAAAAAAAAAAACAAAAAGAGCTCACTAATGCTTGTGGTTGAGGTCAGCAATTTAACTCATCATTGACGGTTTCGACCAAACTCGATCTTATAGGATAAATTTTTTTTTTTTTGAAATTTGAGTTTTGAGTCAGATTCAAATTTTAAGCAAACCCGACGATATCCGATTCGATATTATATAAAAAAAATTTTTTAATTAATTAATTATTTTTTTTATTTATATAATGATATTTTTAAATATTTATATTTAAAAAATAATTTTTATTAATTTTAAATCAAATCAAATCAATTACTATTTATATAATATCGAATCGAGATCGAATTTAAATATAAAAAGATAAAAAAAAATTCAAATAAAATTGAATTCAAATTTAATAATACATAAAATTGAATCAAGTTCAAAATGAATAAAACTCACTCCGAATCTAACTCGACGCCAACTCTACTTGTGGTTCCTAACCATCAAATTGAAAATTTTCGATTCCAGTGGTGTCCCGTAGCAATTCCAAAGGTTATTTTACATTTTCTCTCTCTTTTGATTTTTTTTTTTCCAAATGTCTTAGACAGATAAAACCATGCAAAGTACTTCAGATTTTTAATGGAACTTCCAGCTTTATAATGAGTAGTTAGGTCATATTATATACGGCTGTAAATGGCAAAAAAAAAAAAAAAAAACCTTTGCAATGCGGAAAATGGTCAATGTCATGCAAATGAAATCAATAAGTGTTGCATTAATATTTAACATTGCATATGAATTTAGCAATGGATTTGCAGGAAAAGCAATCAGTAATGTAGAACAAATCTGGAAGTTGAATTGTTTCAAAATGGTATCAACCACTTATTCATAACAATGTTATAGACTAAATGTTGAGTACTGCTATATACCAATTTCCTTGATAAGAATATAATGTCCAATCATGAAATATATAAAATTGGCAGGGGTCAACTCAAAAAACCCAGGAGCCTGCTTATGTAAAACCCAGCTAACATAGACGAGGAAAATTGAGCTTAATATCAAATCAAAACCTACAGTAGAGCAGCCTCTTTTTCAAGCTTCATCTTATTACTATCTGCTTTGTTCAAGGTACCAGACATTTCCTTGCTTCTCGTGAGCAAATCCTCCATTCTTTCTTCCTTAATGGAAGGCAATTGTAAATTGGTTGATAATTCACCAGCTGCTACTAATTTCATCAGCTCAGACTCATCCAAACCTTTTGCAGGGCCAAGGCTGCATCGATCAGATCCATGCTTTGCCAATGCATCTTTGAATTTTTTGATCTGCAATACAAAAGCTTCACATTTACAATCTGTAGGGAACATGATCTATTAAGACTTACAGTCAAGAAACTAAGGAACACTATTCGATCGTGAAAAACTTACAGTAGCATTAGTGCAGCTAAAGCTGCATAGACGCCCCTCAGCACCTCTATAAAACCTAAAGAATGGTAAGACATGAATGTTGAGACACTGGCACATGTTGTTTAGCTCTTCATAGTTAACTTCTAGGAAAATTGCATTTGGATTCCGTTCAGCCAGCTGACAGATCTGTTAGAAAAATAAGCCACTGTCAACAAATGTGATTTAAAATTAAGGAATTAAAATCAATTTTGATATTCTTCACCATTTTATTGAAGCTTAGATTTTATACTCAAAATATAAATTCCAATTAGAGGCGCAGTAGTCCATCCATCATCACTACTGATTCATTTAGATTGGCAAGAATTCAGAATAAGGCATCCCAAAATGAAACATGTGACCATAGATACTGAAAGTTGCTTTAATGGCCAAACATACCTTAGGATGGAGAGCTTTGCAGCCTCCACAAGCAGGTGAATAGAAGCCAATGATAACCAGTCTATCACCAGCATTTTGCAAGGAATCCACAAGTTCTTCAGCCGAGTGGATCTGCAACATGTTGGGTTTAAGATTCTTCTCCCACCATCTCATACCTTTGCTGAGACAGGTTGTTTCTGCCTGGAAAACCAATCGGTTTGACATCAGTTTTTGAGGCCAACACACAAAAGTAAAAAGAACACAAAATAGGACTTTAAGATCCAAAATGTAAAGCAAAAGTTTTCACTTGAACAGAGAATCTGTTTCCAGGTTTAATGCTCCAATTTCTTGCTGGGACAACTAGTGGTTTGCCCAAAAAATCAATGTTCAAGAGAGGAAACTGTTTTGATGTTGAATCCTTAGACTCTAAAGAACTCAATGTGCAAAAACCGGCAACCCTATTGGAATTTGAGCCCAACATAGTCTCATTGAACCCAGAAAAATATGAACCACTCTTCAATGACGAGGCCATGAAATCCCTTGACAACCAAAAATAAAAAAAACTATACCCACTTCTGAAAATCAATCAAAAGTGAAGAATTTGAAAAAAAAAAAAAGTTCTTTTTGACAGAAAGGAGTGGTTGAAGAAAGAGAGAGAGAGAGAGAGAGAGAGAGAGAGAGAGGGACAAAAAAGCAGTTTTTGTTTGATGTTTCAACTCTCAGAAGCTTCAAAATTCAAAAGGAGAAGAGCAGGAAAAGAAATTGTTGGGAATAAAAAGAGAAGAGAGAAGGTGGGGTCAGAATGATTTGGATTTTAGTTTATCCAAATTTCATTAGTGTCTGATGTGTAAATCAACAATTTTTTAAGCTAATGAGAGATGGTTTCTCTTTTTTATTATATTCAATGAAAGATGTTTGATACGTAAGATTTTACTATATTTTAGGAATCACTGTTTTGACACTTTTTGACAGGTAGCCATGTTTTCCTATGATACGGTTTAACGTAGTATAAACGCTGTGTTTGCCAGTTCAAATTTTGGATAAAATCCATCCAATTGTAGAGAAAAAAGTACCCAAAAAGGAAAAAAGCCAAAAAATAGGATCAATTTACATGGAGTAAATTTTTTTAATTTTATATGATTTTTTAATTATAAATTTTAATAAATTCAAAGAATTAAATTAAAACTTTTCTTTCTTTCTTTCTCTTTTTTCTTTTTTCTTTCACTTTTAAATTTTTTTATAATTTTTAAAAATAAAGTATTGTACGTAAATATGAAGCTTGGCATTTGTTCCATCATTAAAAATAATTTTTAATGGTTATCTGGTTTATCTACACTTGGACTGTACAATTGATAACAGAAAAATAACATCCAGAAAATAAAAAATTTTCTTTAAAGATATTTTCTAAAAAAGAAATAATTTTAAAGTACTTGGATCACTTTATTTTATGGTATTTGTTTCAATAGAAAACAAAAACATTTTCTTCACTGTTCATCTTCTCCTAATCTTTTCTTTAAAATCTTTCTTTAACTCAACATACTCATTTTAAAAACATAAAAATTTACAAAAAAAAACACAATAAAATAACCAAATAACTATATTTGAGGAAAAAAAAAAAGAAAGATTTTTTTTTTTTTTAAATACTCGTAGACTACAAGATTAACCGGGAGATTGAAACTTAAAAATAGAGATCATGGAGGATAAGGAATGCTTGTGGAGAAGAAATTTATTTTTATGAGATCTTGTGAGCTTTCTTGTTGGTATTATAGGAATGGTAGGAGCATTTTTGTTTTTTGGTGGTTTATTGTATTTGAAGGAAGAGAAGAAATCAAGAAGAAATAAGTTTAGAAGAGTGATTTGGTGTAATACAAGGAAATTGGGGCTTTTTTGCTAAATTTGTGAAGATTCTAAGCTAAAGTGTCATAAATGTGCTTGACTATTGAGAGAATAAGAGATGAGTTGAGTAGGATGAAATTGTTTTCCTAACTAAAAAAACGGCAGACAAATTCTCTCAAATGAACATTATTAGTTTTTCACTAGAAATCAATTTCTATTGACTCTATCATTTTTTGGTTGTCGTAATGGTTTTGAAGTTATTTGATGAATATAAAAATAAAAATACAAAAATATAGAGTTATCATTAATTTTTCTAATTAGATATTAAAATTTATTTTTTTATAAAATCTTAAAATTAATTACAATTTATTAAAAAAATAATTTTAAAATATGTGAAATAGTCTAAATTTGAAAGTCGATTACGCGTAAAAAAATATTAACATTCCTACAATATCTATTTAGAATGGTATCAATTAATTACATATTATCTATTAATTATGATAAAATTTGGTGTTTAAAAAATAATTTCTTTGACAAAAACAATATTAATTTCAATATTTATCAAAGTTTTAGTTTATTATTATTATTATTATTATTATTATTATTATTATTATTGTTATTTGTAATTTTATTTTATTTGAGAAAAATAAATTAGAATCATTTTATTAAAATAATTTTTAAAATATTATAGTACGTTGGTAATATTAGAATAACTCTTTTCACTTAGAGATTTTTTAGGCATCACTTATCGAAATACCTTAGAATTTCATCCTCGAAGAATCGTATTTATTTTTTGTAAAAATAAGATCATGCATGCAATGTGAATTGGTGATATATTGATGCACATATTTTATTTTACTTTTAAAAATTTTATTGGTTTTTTATTTAAATTTTTTAGGGAAAAAAGAATTTTTATCATATTGAAGATTTTTTATAAATACTCAATATATTGATAGTATTTTTAAAAAATTTTCTCACCTAAAAATGTTATAAAGCATCACTTTTTAAAATACTTTTATAATCTTATCATCAAGTATAATTTTCTTTTTCCTCTCTTTTTGTCATTTTATTTTAATAAATTAGTTAATTTTTTATTTTATTTAATAACAAAAATTTTTTTATTGTATTGAAAATTTTTATATATACTTTAATATGTTGGTACTATTTAAAAAAAATTTCACGTAAAAATTTCGTAGATATCGCTACTTAGAGTACATCTGAATCTCATCATAGGATAAAATTTTCTTTTCTTACATTTTTACTAATTTTATAATATTTTTATTAATAATTTTTACTATTTTTAATTTTTAATTTTAAAAATTTATTAAAAGAATCATTTTTTATTATATCATTATTTTATAAGGTTTATTTCAAATTTTAACAAAATTATAAAAATTTTAACTATATGTTTCATTATTTATTTATTTATTTATTTTTATTTTTACTAATTATTATTATAAAAAAAACAAAATTTATTATAGCAAACTTAAACATTTTAACATATACAAATATTAATGATAAAAATTCAAAATAATAAAAATAAATTAAAAATTTTAAAAGAAAATTTACTTGATCCAGACCTGTCAATGTCGGTCTAGACCAATTCAATTAGATCGATCATAGGTTAGAGGAGAGCAAGGTCATAGGTCAGTTGCCCGGACCTTAAGTTAGGTCACCAAGTTGACACACGAATCCTTCTAAACCTAAATGATATTTTTTTAATCCCTAATTGCTTATATATAAACTTGTTTTTTTTTTTTTTACTTCATTTTTTGCTCTTTAAAAAAAAATAAAACTCTAAAAAAGTTTTCTCCTATTTTCCCTCAACAGTCCCCAAGGTCGATCGCTTTTCACCATGACACCCGTAGTGCTCTTTGTAGTCAATATCGAAAAAGCCCAAAAAAACACCTAAATACTCTTTTCAACCTCTTTTCTCTAGATTTAACACCCTTTTTACCGAAAACCTCCCAATCTCTTTAAATCTGCCTTGAAACCCTTTGGTTCAAAAAACCTTTTTTTTTTCTGTTTTGTTGATTTTTTTTAGGTCAGCAATAGGTTCCCTCACCAAAGGGATTATGTTATGTTGTGTGGGTTTTAACAAAAAGTTTTTTTTTATTTGGTAGAATTTTTTATTATTATTATTTTTGGATAAGGTTTTCTTCTTCTCTAAATTTTTTTTTCTGTCAGGATTTTCCCTTTTTTTGGATTTTTTCTTTTTTTTTTTCATTCTTATCTTTCGTGGCTCTGTTTTATAGAACTAAATCAAAATCTTAAAATTTTTTAAATTTAGTTAAACTTTAGCTGCCTAGGATTAAAGTAGCTATCAAAACGGTGACCAATAACTGTCAAAGTTATTGATAATACGACTACAATAATTATTAGAGTTATTGATAGTACGGCTACTAACGGATGATAAAAAATGTGCAAATACATAAATAAATAAATGGGTTGTTTACATTGGTCATTCAAACACAAAAAATCATTTTTCAAAGTGATTTTTTATTGTACCAAATGAAAGTTTTATAGTAATGATATGAAAAAAAAAAAAGATTTTAATGTCTTGAGTAGATAGGTGATACAGTCCAATTAATTTTGATACTTAAGCAATCTTTCCTTGATTAGAATATAATATAAATTTTCATTAAAATTTGTAGGATGCTTTGATTTCGAAATAAGATAACTTTTTATCACATAATTTTTTTTTTGAAAAATAGTGATAAACTACACTTTTAGTTTGTTTATAATTAAAAGAAATAAAACTTAAGCAATGGGATAATTGTAAGCTATTAGTCATAATTTTACTTTATAACATGTACTATTTTGTAAATTCCTTTCCTTTTTTGGTTGACGACGATTAAGCTTTTTTATTCTCATTTATAATCATTTACTATTACTTACAATTAATGTACTTTATGATAATTATAAGAATTTAAAATAAACCATTATCAATGAAATCATATAAATGTCAACATAAAATCTATTACATATAAATATTCGTGTAATATTAAACTCTTAATTTTATTAATCATAATTTAAAATTTAATGATATAATTATTAAAATCAAACAACTTTGATTGTTTTGTTCCCTCTATATTAGGGATGGCAATCCAACTCGTCTCCGACAGGTTTTGACCTGATCTGACACTGTACTGTGAGGTCAAATTTTTTTTTTTTTTTAAATTCGGGTTTCGGGTCGAGTAAAGTTATGGAATAATTGGGTTCGAGTCGGGTTTGAGTTTTAAGCAAATCCGATCCGATCCGATATTATATAAAAAATTATTTTTTAATTAATTTTTTTATTTATATATATTTATATAATGATATTTTTAAATATTTATATTTAAAAAATAATATTTTATTAATTTTGAATCAGGATATGAAAAAATAAAAAAAAATCGGATATGATCGAATTCGGGTTTATTAATGCATAAAGTCGGGTCGAATTCGGGGCGAGCAAAATCCGCTTCGAACCCGACTCGATGCCAACCCTACTCTATATTAAGGATCGAGATTTTCATGAATATCAAATTTTTTATAAAAAAAATGTTAAAATAGTTTCAATCACTTAATTTCGAGTGTAATGGGTAACTAAAATTTATCATTTTAAAATATAATATGATTTGTTAATAAAATATTATATTTTTAATAGTCAAATCTTCAACAATTTTAATTATTTAAAAAAACTTGAAAGACTTAAAATTTTGATTTGTCGAATATACAATTGACAACTGACCAGGTAAGAATGATCAACATAATAATTTCTTCTCCGTTAATTACAAAGTTAATACAATTTTTTTTTGCTTGGGACATGAATTGAGACAACGCAGAGGAACAAAATTATGGGCGTCCCCAAATGGAAGAAAGAACCTTTAATTTGGGCATTGGACCCGCCACAAGCCTCTCGACATTCAGGGTAAGAGCCGTTCAGCCAAAGTAAAATCTTATATGCTATTTGTTTCTGTCTCCTTTGTGAAAA